ACCCACTAATTTGTATATAAAAACGGCAATTTTTTATAAATCGAATTGTTTTGTCTGTAATACACTTTTATTTTCTTGTGTTCAAATAAATTTATTCATTGCCATGCTTAGTTGTTTCTTGGTGTTTTTAGCACATAATTTATTCAAGAAGAACAAATTAAATGACAAAAATAGAAAACGAAAAAATAAAAGTAATATTTGGACTGAGATGTGAACTTGGTATTTTAAGCGTAGCAGGCGTTTGTTCTCCCTATTTAGCGAAAAGCTTCGTATTTTAATATTTTGAACCGACCTTCCAAGGAAGTTATCAATTCGGCTGTATGTTTTTTTGTGTGTATGTTACCCGATTACTCCGGTGTTTGTGGACGGATTTGATGATTCTTTTTGTGTTAAAAAGGTCATACTCTCGGGGTAGTCACATTTCCTCCAGGTCAGGATCTGATTATGGGATCTCATGGAAACCGAGGGGAACTTTTCGAAATTGTATGGGCGGTGAGGAGAGCGTTTTTTAAGTTTTTTAAATACTATTGAAAACTACTGCAATTTGATGAAGGTGTGGAGTTGATCTGATTATGGAATCAAGAGACAGTCGAAGGAACTTCTCAAGGATTTGCACTAGTGACCCCGTGTTTGCGCTTAAATTATTTGTATTGAGAAGATCTTTACATCTACATGGGATGTGATTGTCATTAGCGGCCTGATTATGAAAGACAATGATAGCTAAGGGAACTCCTCAACGGTGAACATTAGCTGTGTTTGGGCTTGATTAATTTGTAGTGATGAGAACTTTACACCTAAATGGGGTATGGTTGTCATTAGGGCCTGATGATGAAGAGGTATGATAGCTAAGGGGAACTCGTCAACGGTTGATAGTAACTACCTGGTGTTCAACTTGATTGATTTGTGTTACTGAGAACTTTGCACCTAAATGGGGTGCGATTGTCATCAGGGGTCTGATGATGAATGAGTATGTCAGCTAAGAGAACTCCTTAACGGCTGACAGTAGCTACTTGGTGTTTTGGCTTTATTAATTTGTTTTGATGAGAACTTTACACCTGTATGGGGTGTGATGTTCATTAGGAGCCTGATGATGAAGTAGTATGATAGCTAGGGCAACCTCTAAACGATTAATAGCTACTATTAGGCGTTTACCTGGTGGCTGGTGTATAAGGTATAATTTGTGCTTAAATAATTTGTTATGATGAGAGCTTTATACCCTTGTGGAATATACGTGGTATACTGGGTTTATATAGCCCACAATGGGTGTACTAAAGTAACGAGCAAAAAAATAAGTATTATTAGTCATACGCACTTATAGGTTATCCACCCGGCACCCACTGATAGGTTAGAAGTCGGTGCCATAAGCCCATACAAAATATAACGTAGGTTAATGGTCATAGTTAAAATATGTCATAAAATTGTACAAAGCTTAATAATAAGGTATTTGTTACGGGTTTAAAAAATACTTTATGCTTAAAACCTTGTGGCACCGACTTCTCACCCATCAGTGGGTGGGTAACCTACAAGTACGTATGACTAATAATACTTATTTTTCGCTTTTTATTTCTTACCTTTCGCACGGACAAAATTACATTTTCTGAAAGTGAAACCTATCTAGTTACATTTATTGCCCTCAAAACCCCCAACTACAAATATTTTAACAAAATATCAAAATCGACGAAACCGAAAAAGCCGACTGGTGATGAGACAAATAAGTTCTGTTTTCATATACCTAAGTAAGTAATTGTTTCTTTCACGTAATAATAGTTGTAATCAACTGCGCCAGGCTGACGTTGCACTAATAAATAATATAACACGAGAACTAGCACGGTTAATTTGTAGAAACAATTTATTTTTGTCCGCGTTTCGGAAGCGTCCTTTGTACAGCTGTAGGTATGTATACAAGAACAGGTTTTTTTTAAAGGGGGAACTCATCGAATGACTGCTCCCGCCTGGGTGAGGCGGGATTGAGTGTCAGACTCTTACTGACTAAAAACCACCCCGTTCCTTCTCCTGCACGTCGAGCCGGAGCCCCGGTTACCCGTTAGGTTCTCCGCGACATACAAGAAAAGGGTAGATGACTAATTAAAGTAATGACTAAATAAGTAATAAGTAATAAGACTAAAAAAAATGTTTTACTGAAACAAATAGTTTCAAAGTATTCTTTTGAAATATCGCATGACACTTTTGAGTAGGTACGATGTATACTCTAAAATGACGTAGCTACTTCATACTCCTAAACTTTGATTCGTTTTATCTAAGTATTGTTATCCTATAAGACTAAATAAACAAATACGTGTCTTATATTTTTTTATTATCTAACTGACGCAGTAATTAGATTTTTAACGCTATTGCTTGTTTAAAGTTATTAGATAATATGATTAGATGATCTATTTAAGTATTTGTAATTCTTAAGTGCGCGATAAATATATTTTATTAAAAAATCCCTGCGCAACCAGCAGCTGCGCAACGTGTTGTGGGTTCGATTTCTGCACGAACAACCCTATGTGATTTACATATAGGACAAAACTGCGTGTAAAAAACTGACTCCAAAAAACCAAAAACTAAATACAGACAAAGAGTAAAAACTAAAAAGCAAACAATAACTGTATATAGTGTTGATAACCTATCAGTACTAATAATAGTAATATTAACCCACCCACTGATACGTTAGAAGTCGGTGCCATAAGTTCTAATCAAAATTATTCGTTAAAACTATCATATAAACCTAATATTAAGCTGTTTACAATAAATTTTGTGACCATTAAGTTATATCATTTTGATACGAGCTTGTGGTACCGAGTAAAAGGCGATTTTGGAAGCCTGATATGCAATCTACGGCTGAATTAGCCGCAGCTTTCGCCGTTAGTGTATAAACAATATTAAGTAGTCATTTGCGTCAAATTGGCAAGGTAAAAAGCTTGACAAATGGGTGCCCCACGAACTCAATGATCGCCAGCGAGAAGTACGCGCCGAGACGTGCCTTGCACTGCTCTACAGACACACATATAAAGGAATTTTGAACCAACAAAATGGATTCTGTTTGACAACCGCAAGCACTTAGCAACTTGGTTGGGTCCTGGTTCAGGAAGGTAAACGAAAACTTACCCCTAAAAACACACACACACAAACAGTGACCATCACGGTTACTGTTTGTGTAGCCGGTGTGATTCATGACAGCTTCTTAACAAACAAGATGAGCATTACTGCAGATGTATAATGTGAAGAACTAAACACAATGACGGAGAAGCTGGCATATCTCCAACCACGCACGACAGCGCGTGACCTTATACTGCACAGCAGACGGTCAGTTGCAAAAACAGGGGTTGGAAGCTCTGCGTCATCGGCCCTACTCGCCAGACCTTGCACCTACAGATTATTACATTTTTCCAGAATTTGGATAACTATTTGGCGGGAAAAAATTCAATACCCGAGAGGCAGTACAAAATGCCTAAATTGAAGAATTTTTGACTAAGATGCATTGATTGCATGGGTGATTACTTCGATTAATACAAATTAAAAAATACATGAAATAAAACTCGTTTTATATTTTTTTATGTTTTCTTATTTCAAATTCATTTCAAATCGTTTCTATTATCCAAAATCCAAAAACATCAAATTGATGACTCATACCTACCTCGCTGGTTGAATGGTTGTACCTACCTAAGTGCGACTGCCGAACAACGGTTTGGGTTTGATACCCGAATCACGCAAGGTATTATGGGGATTTTTTCTTCTCTCGCCCGTGCCCGCTTCGTGGTTGCAATAAAAACAATAATATAGATGAAAAGTCCTTAGGCTTACATCCACACATCTACGCCTTTGGGGATTAAATGACGTGATGTTATATATCTTTGAAATTTAGATGCCGAAAACCTTCTTTAGGTTGGTATCCCCGTGTGAGAGATGACTCTAGGCCCAATCCCCCCCCCGCCCCAGTCTCCAATCTTGTGTTCTACCTTCTCTGGGCAGCTCCAGAGAAGGTACAACACACAAAGGTCAGGTGTTTATACATCAGGTGTTCTGTCTGCTCGTTTGCTGACTTATTACATAAAATAGATCTTAAAATTGATCATTTTTAAAAGGTCTTAATATACGTTTGGAAAATGATAATACTTAATTATCATTTTCGAATCGAAATGCTCATAACAACATAACAATAATGACCACAAGGTACCGAGACTTGTTCGTATAAGCGCATCGGACAACTTAATGGGCTGCCGGGGTTCCGGCTTGAAGAGCAGCAGTAGGAACGGGATGGGTTTTAGTCAGTAGGAGTTTGACTAAGTAGGTACCTATACCATCTAATTAAATAGGTATACCTATATCTGCAGTTTTGGGGTTTTACCGCGGTGCATCAATTGCTCCAATATTTCATAACATTGTGTAACTATTCAAGTCATCGTGACTTTGCAAAATTTTATCAAATAGGTATTTCAATGATTTGAAAATTCCTTAATAATATTATTAAATCGAAAGTGTGTTTGTTTGTCTTCTTCCACGTCACAATGTACGACTGTAAATATGGTATGTATTTCTTTGGAAGATAGTTCAGGGGTTGGCAAATAATATAGACGGGTTACTTTTTTTCTAGACCACTTGGGCAAAGCAGGGTGGCACAACAAATTACTCGTAATAATTTTAATATGCAGGTATACAGGTACAGATGAAGGATAAATATCTTAAGTGAAACATTTTAATAAGTGTACGTAAATCAGAAATAAACTTCATCTCGGGAATCTTCCTACTGATAAAAAATAAATATACATAAACTAAAAACCAGTTTACGGACTGACAAAGTTACATTCTAAAGACTATTTCTATTGTTATTCACATTTTTCTTTTTTACCGTAAGGAGGCTAATATTTTATTAATTTAGTAACCATCTCCTGGCAATTTGCTATAGCCGTTGACAATGATTGGGCACTAATGGGCAACCACCCGCCGGCAGCCGCGCAGTAAGATAAGACCGGATATTTATAAACAGTGCACATAATATAAATAGCCAGCAACTGACGAGACATAAAGTAGTAAGCACGCGGTACCCGAACTCAACATGGATTACGACTTCTCAAACAAAGTAGTGCTAGTAACTGGCGCGAGTGCCGGTATAGGCGAGGCTATAGCTCTCCTGTTCGCTAAACTTGGCGCGAAGCTGTCGCTGGTGGGAAGAAATGAATCCAACTTGCGAGCAGTCGCGGCCGAGTGTGAGAAGCAGAAGGGCGTGAAGCCGCTGGCGATCGTCGCGGACCTGGGGACTGATGAGGGGGTCCAGAAGACTGCTAAGGAGACACTAGAATATTTTAAGAGGTAATTAATGTTCAGCTGAAAATACATTTATTCTACCTCTACATTGTCGTTAATTTTTTTATAACACAATAATGGATTTTAAAAAACTACAAGTTAATTAGGGGTGAAAGTGAGCACTTGTTGTTGTTGATTTTAACTTGTGATTATTTCAATTTCAGATTGGATGTCCTCGTGAACAACGCTGGTATTGGCGTCGCCACAAATATCCTGCACGAGACAGACATGCAGTTGTTTGACGACGTGTTCAGGCTCAACGTGAGAGGAGTTTACTACCTCACTAAGCTACTGGCCCCCGCACTCGTCGAGAGCAAGGGCAATATTATCAACATTTCCAGTGCAGCAGCGACCATGGTTTCAACAGGTGGAGTGCCTTATAGTATGACGAAGGTAAGCTCTTTAAAAATTGTCGTTCAAGTTAATAATAGACGTTGTAATCATTTACATCAAATAATTTGACTGATTAATGTATTCCGCTTTTCAGGCTGCACTGGATCACTTTACCCGCCTGGTGTCTCTGGAACTAGCCCCCAAGGGAGTTAGAGTTAACTCAGTCAGTCCTGGTATCACTGTAAGTATTTGATTAATCTAGAAATATGCGTTCAGATAGTAGGGGTAAGAAAGAGAGTACCTAAAGATAAAATTATTTAAAAGACTTCTATTGTGGCATTTACGTAATTACTATGTGAATAACAGATGCGACCAAAGTTAGACATGGAGTGTTTCAAGGACCCTCACCCATGTTATTAAAATTCCACACCTTTTGATTCCCTAACATACGATTTCAAAATGAAACATTACATTAATTGTATCTACATCTTTCTGTCTTCAGGAGTCAGAATTCATGAAACGTGCTATCGGCGTCACGCACGAGCAATATCTGCAGTTTTTGGTAAACATTAGTAAGAAGATTCCTATGGGAGCGCCTTGTGTGGGAGAAGACGTAGCTCGCATGGTCGTGCACATCGCCAGTGACCACAGCAGGCTGGTCACTGGTGCCGTTGTGGTGATAGACGGCGGCTACAGGTTCAGCGGTCCGACGCCATCATCCGTTGTTACTTCGAGTAGATAAAGTGAACTTTCAAATTATTTTTTGTAGCATAAGAACAATGCTGTGATAATTTAATAAAAAACCATAATACTTATTTTCTGTTTTAGTTTATTCAACAACCCCATCATTGTAGACATTTTACACGCCGATTGAAACAATCTTTCGGTGCAATCGCCATGCGTAGCGATCACTCCCATAAACATCGATCTAAAAAAACTCTGCCGTTTATTTATTTACTTATTGAATTAGGTTCTTCAACAAGGAATTTAGCACACACGAGTAGTTCCATTACAAAAAATTAAAATCTATATGCTTCCTCAATTATCTTATAAGGTAAAAAAATTAAAAACTATGTGCTTCCTCAATTATAGGAGACCACATCATGCAAAATAAACATAAAAATATACATAAAACTGAAATGGAAATTAAATCAAAACTTATAAATAAAAATTTAATCAAAACAAAACAGAGTTGTAACTAAAAACAATACAAAATGTCAAACATTATGGCACACGTCATATAAAACATAAAACCGTTACACTAGATGACAGATGAAAATTATGATAAAAATATTAAAAATGTATAATTTGCATCTCGGAGCAAAGCTTATAGGATATTTTAACAGAAAATTAAACTAATAAAAGGAAGGGACCTAGTACTGAGCCTTGGGGAACACCCATATTCATCTCAGTATAATAACCGTATTAAGTAATATACTAATTTAGACATTATACTAAATAATATTCTTATTTAAATTCATTTGGCTCCAGCATAGTTCATGTGTTCAATGAAAGTCCAAAATAAAAAAGAAAGAACTTTGAGTTTATATTGTCTTAGAAAATATACAATTCACAACTAATTTAAAACTTGAAACACAAATAATATTTTGACGACTGGCTTGCAAATGCTTTAGGTTCGCAGGCGCAGCTACGCACTTGAAAATAGGTACATAAAAATGTCAACACATTAGTGTCACCACAACAGTATCAAATCTATGGTATACACTACCACTGCCGAATAAGGCGTCTCGGGTTCGATTACGGTGTTAGCAAGAGTTTAGTTGGTCAACAATTTTTAACCCAAAATGAATAGCACTCGACACAATCAATTCTCAATATCACAAATATTAGAAGCGGCTAATATTTATATTCGAGCTGTCAAATCTCAAAAAGATTGATAATGCCAATAACGTGCGCTGTGTACAGTACCTAGTAGTAATTTGGAGTCTTTTTGGTAACAAAACATAACTTTTTGTCGTAATGAAAATCTTCAGACCAGTTTATTTCCAAAATAATTATTTATTACCTTTAACTCGTCGAGTACCGTCATTATAGACACAATTATAGAACAATAGGTTGCGGTCACCGGTGACCGCTTGGTGATTGACAGTTTAAAACCCGAAATTATGTTTAAATTATAATTTTCGTAAGACATACTAAATTAATTGTTATGTTTTCGGCTTACTCACCTAAGTGTTTGACGAGGAAATCTACTAGTTTCACATGACACCCAGAGATCACGGTAGCCAGTTGCCCGGCCACCAGCACCAGCAAGGCAGTCAAAATTAATTTCTAAATACTGAAAAGTCGATCGGTCCCAATATCGAACCTTGATGTACTCCTATTATCGTTCTATTCATCTTGAGTTAATATGGTATTATTAATATTTATTTGTATTTAGGTCTGTGTACGATTTTTATTACTTTATTAATATTACATCCACCTTTACATATACACCTTATTTATAGATGAAGTCTTATCTGTGTGAGTAGTATTACTGGGTCGTAGTCTGGAATTGTGCCCGATATATGGCAATAGGCTCACCCCCTATTACATGGGACTCATAACATAACTAGGCATACGCATAACATCATTATTCCGAAATCTAAGTCTTTGTAACTGATTCAGTAAATTACCTATTGTTTGTTCTCGATCTTATTAAGTTAATTAAGTCCGTTCTCAAACCCATTATTAGCCTAAGTCTCTTTAATTCACGCAAACTATTGTAAACTATATGTAACGCTGTTGCTGTTGGTATTCAAATAAATAAATAATAGTGAAAAGTGGGTGTTGCATCGCACACTGGGACTAAGTGCCGTAATGTGCACCTCTGCCTGTCCCTTCCTGTGTGATATACTTAACACAATTACTGATAAACATTGAAAATATAACGTTATTTAATAATATTTTAGTTACAAAAATATTTATTCTCTTGTTTCATGGATGCGTGTAAAATATACAAATTGATATAATGTAAGATTCAATCTGTTCTGAGCAAGCGAGGTTGGCGTTAATCACCAGATTAACGCAAACCTTCACCGTCTGAGAATAGGCTTTTGGTCAGCAGTGGTCACCTATAGGCTGTTCATGTGAAGATCTTACAAATCCTAAAAGAAGGCAGAAAGAAAGAGCCTGTAGGAAGAAAGTTACGAGAGGTGCGCTACGTTAGCCAATGTAAATGATTCTGAAATCAAAACTCTTCAAAAAAATATCACCACATCTTTCTATGGATATCGGAACTTTGCAAGGACCGCGAACTTTACAATGTGATGAATATATTATGGTAGCCACAATAATTCTTTTATAAAGTACATTTAAAAAAATCGACTTCAACCCCATCTTTTTTGAATACTAAAACGTTTTCCAAAGACTAACTAATACTTTTACTATGCCAATCATGAAGTAAAACTGAAACTTAAAATCTTTTCAATTTGAAGTCAGTTAGTAAAAATTAAGAAGAACACTCGACTCTACGGACACCTCGAAACCTAGTGCTTGGTTCAAAATATGTTGTACTTTTATATAGGTACCAGGTACTACCTACACGATTATCTGTTAAATCGGTTGGACTTGAGTGGAGCATCAGTTATTCCTGTTGTTACCGAGTATTGTATAACATTGTGTAACTATTGACGTCATTATACCATTGCAAAATATTATGAAATATCACAATGACTTGCAAAATTTTATTTTGCAGCAGTAGGCACAACAACATGCTTATATTTTTATTATGTATATTGTATATAGATAGATACTAGGCAGATGATGATAGTAACCCAGAACATAAAAAATTTAAGTGTGTGCCATGGGAGAGCCATGCTTCGGCACGAATGGGTCGGCTCGACCGGAGTGATATCACGGCCTAACAGAAAACCGACGTGAAGCAACGCTTGCAACAGCAACGTGTTACGTCGTGTGAGTGACCGAAGGCCCAATTACCCTCCCCTTCCCCAATCTCCCCAATCCCTGAATCCCCAACGATCCTCAAACTCCTAATCCCCAAAATGCCGGTAACGCTCTTGTAATGCCTCTGGTGTTCCAGGCGTCCATGGGCGAAGCCGATTGCTTACCATCAGGTGATCCGTCTGCTCGTTTACCGGCTTATGCCATAAAAAAAAAGAACTGAAATATTTTAATAGCTTCTCAAACAAACATAAAACTTCATCTTCCTTTTCAGGAGCATCCAATTCAAAAAGTAACAAATTGATATTGACTGACTGCATCATTATGCTATATGTTGATATTCTCAGTATGCGATGTTACAATGTTATGTCACAAATTAAGGTATCGCTAATATCTGCTGATATCTCTGGCTATCTTCAAGATTCTCTTTACAATTTAATGCGCTCCACACGTGACGCTAGCCTGCGCTGTATATAAACTGGCTCTGATTGTTTGGATAAACAGATCAGATCCATATTTTAACGCATCTTCGCGATTATTAATAAATAAGTACTGAAAAAAAAAATTATTGCCAATATGGATTACGATTTTTCTAACAAAGTAGTGCTGGTAACTGGCGCCAGTTCTGGTATAGGTGAATCCACCGCCCTCCTGTTCGCTAAACTTGGCGCGAAGCTGTCGCTGGTGGGAAGAAATGAAGCTAACTTGCGAGCAGTCGCGGCCGAGTGTGAGAAGCAGAAGGGCGTGAAGCCGCTGGCGATCGTCGCGGATTTGGGGACTGATGAAGGGATCCAGAAGACTGCTAAGGAGACTCTAGCACACTTTAAAAGGTAAACATTCAAATCCTTGACCGTGGTTTTACAATTACTCTGTAATACTTCCATGTTCCTTGTCAAGGCCGAATTCTTGTTTACTATAAAATTGAAGTGTTGTTATGATAACCGGTATGCTTGATAGCTTATCAGATGATAATAATTGACAATGTTCAAACAAAAATAAACAACATTATCACATTGAAATGGGTCGAACTTTTGAGCTCTTAGTCTAAATAATTATGTTCGTGACTTTCTTCCTTTTATTCCAGACTGGACGTCTTGGTGAACAACGCCGCCATCGGTGCACGCACTAGCATCCTGCACGAGACTGACATGAAGATCTTCGACGACGTGTTCAGGATCGACGTGCGCGGCGTATACCTGCTCACCAAGCTGCTGGCGCCAGCCCTCATTGAGACCAAGGGAAATATCATCAATGTCTCCAGTATTGCCGGAACAGTTGTCGCTGTTGGCTCTCTACCATACGGCATGGCAAAGGTGAGGACAGTTACATTTTGAAAATTCTATTAATGAGGAATATGAATATTAATAAGATATTGATTTTTATATAACTGGCTTGTTCCAGGCTGCACTGGACCACTTCACTCGCCTAGTGTCTCTTGAGCTGGCTCCAAAGGGCGTCAGAGTTAACACAGTCAGCCCAGGCCTTACTGTAAGTACTGAAAAATGGGACACTACTGAACTCGTGTGTGGTTATTCTGTTAAAAACAAGTTAAATAATATGAATTTTTCCATTTCTTAGATAACCAACTTTTTGAAGAATATTATCCATTGCTCGGACGACGAGTATAAACAGTGGTTGGAAATTGCAAAGAAAAATGTCCCTATGGGTGACCCGTGCGTGGGAGAGGACATCGCCAAGATGATCGTTCACGTCGCCAGCGAGCACAGCAGGCTAGTCACAGGGACCATCGTCGAAGTGGACGGCGGCCTAAGGTTCAACAACCTGTCAAACACGCTCGTCACACATGTCAAGTGATTCTAGATCTAATTATTTATAATTAAAGTCTGAGTTAAGGAAATAAAAATAAACAAATTGAATGAAATAAATTTAAACTTTATGTATGTTT